CCAGCCTGACCAACATGGTGAAACCCTGTCTCTACTGAAAATACAAAAATTAGTGGGGCATGGTGGCCCATGCCTGTAATCCCAGCTACTCGGGAGGCTGAGGCAGGAGAATCGCTTGTACCCGGGAGGCAGAGGTTGCAGTGAGCCAAGATCGTGCCAATGCACTCTAGCCTAGGCAACGAGCGAAAAACTCTGTCTCAAAAGAAAAAAGAAAGGAAAAAAGTAGCTTATGTTCATGGCAAGCACCTCTCATCACAATCCAGTTCCAAAGAAAAATTCCAGCATTTTCTACATTGGCTGCTGCCTTGTCTGAAATCGGCACATTTCATGGAGGAAGGAGTCCTGCTTTGCTGCATCTCTTATCCTAGGGTTTAATGTTGGTAATTGAGTAACTCTATCATTTGTACAAGGCTCCCTAAGACTCCTGCAGCAGTGGACAAGCCCAGGGACATAATTGAATCTAGTGATTCCTGGGGCCTTGTGAGAAGGACTTGAAATACAAATAGGAGGAAAGGTACAAAAATAAATGTTTACTTTGTCTCTGAAAAAAAAAAAAAAAAGGAAAAAGGAAATATTGATTAGTAAGTCAAGTCAAACCATAATAAATAAACTTAAAAAAAACCTTTTACACAAAGATGTTCTGTGAATGTATAAAATCAGAGCCATAACTTGCTTTTATTAGAAAGTGTTTATTATAAAGATATTCAATATGGCAACATTTATGGCATATGAAGTTCATTAAAAGGTTTACCTGAGAATTAAGTTTTTAATTGAACCCATTATGTTTGTAGGCCCTTTGAACGGACGATTACCATGCATAAGGATAGCACTGGACATGTTGGTTTTATCTTTAAAAATGGAAAAATAACATCCATAGTGAAAGATAGCTCTGCAGCCAGAAATGGTCTTCTCACAGAACATAACATCTGTGAAATCAATGGACAGAATGTCATTGGATTGAAGGTAAGGAATAGACTTTATGGCTTGTTCTGCTGCAGTTTTAGAAAATGTCAGTCTCTTGATTCTATTTAGATGGCACTGTTTTTGTATTGATTTAGGTGGGAAATGGGGAATGTGGGGTCTGGGCTCTTGCTCTGCCCAGTCACCAAAATTATTTGGGCTGTCATCTGGAACTACAGTTCCTGTAACAACAGGGCTGGAATAAATGATCTCAGAAGTACCTCATGCTAGAATTCTGTGGAAATATGGCCAACAAAGATTTTTATGCCAGTTTAAGTGAATGGTTGCCCAACATTTCTCAACCCAGGAATATAAGGAAATGAATAATAGTTTTGGTTCATATTAGTATCTTGTTTATATAGTTTTTCCCCTCCACAAATTCCTAAATAAGTCTGTCTTACGATCAAAGGTTTTAAGTGTGACCTCCTCATTTCATAGTCTTTGGTTTAGAATATAGAGTTAACTAAGGTAGTATTGTATATGGGAAAAATTATTTAATATTCAGAAATGGAAAGATTTTTTTAGCTAAAATATTCAACTCAGTTTACTTAAGCAATTTGATTACTAGCTGTGAAATAATGTACAAATAAACTGGGTAGGCCGGGCGCGGTGGCTCAAGCCTGTAATCCCAGCACTTTGGGAGCCCGAGGCAGGTGGATCACGAGGTCAAGAGATCGAGAACATCCTGGTCAACATGGTGAAACCCCGTCTCTACTAAAAATACAAAAAATTAGCTGGGCATGGTGGCGTGTGCCTGTAATCCCAGCTACTCAGGAGGCTGAGGCAGGAGAATTGCCTGATCCCAGGAGGCAGAGGTTGCGGTGAGCCAAGATCGCGCCATTGCACTCCAGCCTGGGTAACAAGAGCGAAACTCCGTCTCAGAAAATAAATAAATAAATAAACTGGGTAAGAAACACTAGAAAAAATTAGAAATACAGGATTTTAGAGATACTAACAAAACGTAACAGGACATATATTTTGTATTTATTTACTAAGATGGCGTAGTTTTGTACTTATTAAATAATGCCTCTGTGGAATTAATTTTGAATATGTTTTTATCAGGACTCTCAAATTGCAGACATACTGTCAACATCTGGGACTGTAGTTACTATTACAATCATGCCTGCTTTTATCTTTGAACATATTATTAAGCGGTAAGTAGACAATTTCTCAACTTAATGCATATGGTCATGTGACTTAATATAAGCACCATATACTTTTAATTCTCAGCCCTTTGGTTCTTTTACCTAAGGAATGGATACTGGTGTTTATCTAGAAATTTGAAGTAAATTATTTGAATCAGAGGGGTTGGTAAGGATGAGCTCTTACAGCTTCCCAAGTGTGAATAAAATTCACATATACTTGATCAGTTTTGATATTGCCCAGTAGAAAAAAGTATCCAAGGAGAAGTGGGCATGCTTTCAGCTTTCAATTTGCAATACAACTGACTGCAGTTGTACTGCCTACCACTCTTCTGCTCAGTATAAATCTAGCTGTGGTGGTTTGTAATGGAGAATTCTTGCTGTTGGAATGCTAGAAAAAAGTTTCCCTTCTCTCCAGAATCTTGGGAGGCAGATAGACATGTGTGGTGTGTTGATGCTATCTGTGCTTAGGAACTGAGGATTAGAATGCCAAGTGATCAGAACTGAAAAGAGGCAACAAGGGTTACTTCTATAGATCTTTTCAGATCCTAGCATCTACCATAGCAGTTTTTGTCAAGCCTGCTTGGATTACTTTTCAGAAGCTCTATCATACATGTGAAAATGAGATTTAAAAGATTCATAAACATAACCATTCTAACGAAATTTTTGTGTCAGCTTCTGGATAGAATGCACTTAGCTACTCTTGGAAGGGGTAAAAAGGAGTTATTGTCATGACTAATTGTTCTAGGGTTCTCTTAATTCACTGATGGATCCCTCTACCTTAATTAATCACAGTCTTGTCATTTTCTCTCTCTTTTTTAAAAATCATCAGGTTTAATGTACAGTAATTCATTTGTATCCTAACTTAGCCCAATACAGATAGCCTCTCCCACCAGCTAGATTACCAGAGATGCTTCTAGACTCATTTAAAAGATCTTTCCCTTCTCTCCATTCACCTTTGATGCTAACAGGTGCTAAATTGGAATTGGGAATTTTCTTGGATTAATATAGCATTTTTGAAACAAAACATAACCTTAGTATATAATAAAAGTACCTCTCTTGTAGGATGGCACCAAGCATTATGAAAAGCCTAATGGACCACACCATTCCTGAGGTTTAAATTCACAGCACCATGGAAATGTAGCTGAACATCTCCAGTTTCCTTCTTTGGCAACTTCCGTATTATGCACATGAAGCTTTCCCGGAGCCAGCGAGCATATGCTGCATGAGGACCTTTCTATCTTACATTATGGCTGGGAGTCTTACTATTTCATCTGATACCTTGTTCAGATTTCAAAATAGTTGTAGCCTTATCCTGGTTTTACAGATGTGAAACTTTTTCAAGAGATTTACTGACTTTCCTAGAATAGTTTCTCTACTGGAAACCTGATGCTTTTATAAGCCATTGTGATTAGGATGACTGATACAGACAGGCTTAGCTTTGTGTGAAAACCAGTCGCCTTTCTCCTCGGTCAGCGAGTAGTGCTGTTCATATTACTTCAGTTCTATAGCATATTTGCATTTTTAACATGCTACCATAGTACATTTAGAATGATTTCCTTTGATTTTTTTAAAAAATTCTGTTTGTGTGTGTGTAAAATGCCAATTAAGAACACTGGTTTCATTCCATATAAGCATTAAACAGTGTATGTAGGTTGCAAGAGATGGTGAGGATTGTTTTTAAATTTTAACTACCTTCACTTAATATGCTTGAACTGTCGCCTTAACTATGTTAAGCATCTAGACTAAAAGCCAAAATATAATTATTGCTGCCTTTCTAAAACCCAAAATGTAGTTCTCTATTAACCTGAAATGTATACTAGCCCAGAACAGTTTAATGGTACTTAGAGCTATAGCATAGCTGCTTAGTTGTTTTTGAGATTTTTTTAGTCAACACATAAGGGAAACTTCTTTCTTCTAAAAGTTGCCAGTACCATTTAGTGAGAAGCAAATAGCTATATATTTAATGTAAAAATTATTTCACTAAACAGGATAAACTTTTGATTCCCCTTTTGTTTTTTTGTGGATTAAGTGGTATAATACTTAATTTTGGCATTTGCTCTCAAGATTGTAACCTAGCTAGTTCAGGATGGTCTTAGAGTATTTTTCTGGTAATTTGTTCCATTCTGTGACTTCTCCTTACAAACAAAATGATAGTGACACTTTATCCTGATTTTTTGATTCTTTATGGTTTATGTCTATTCTAATTAAATATGTATACATAAAGTTACATTTTAGTCTGTCTGTCATTGCATCATTTGCTTTCACCAAACTTACCCACTATGCAGAAGATAGGCATGTGAGGTTCACTATCAGCTATGGGCGGCAGTTGTGATCTCTCAGAACAAGCTGACGTTCAGGTGCTCTCAGAACAGCTCTCAGTGCTGAGAGACTGAATGTCAGGAAAATTGCTTCCAGCTGGGAACCCCAGATTACCAGGTGCCAGAGAGCTGGTTCACACCTGCCATGCAGCAGGAACTCATTGAGGCTACTGATTGTCCCTGACAACACCTGACACCAGGTAATATTTAATAACACTTGAAACTGACTTTGAAAATTCTATCAGTGTGATCTGACTTAAGTTTTTTTCTCCTCTGTCATAGTACCTGCAAGATATAATAGTGTTTTAAAGAGGACAGAAAAAACAAGTCACATAATTACCATGGTTCAGAAGTTGAATATAAAAGGAAGTCTGCTACTGCTGTACAGCTTACCTTGTTTGAAATTTAGAAGAGAAAACCAAAATATTTGATTATCTACCTTGAGTCTGAAGATAATTTCAAAAGTAATGGAATTACATTCGTATCATTAAACATGGTTTTCTAGAAGAATCAATACTTGTGGTCTTAAAAACTACTAGTCTTGAGTCTTATGTTACATAAATAAAATGAAAACAGCTTTCTTTAGAGAAAAATATTTTTAATGTAGAAAAGATGGATAGCTATAATGAAATACAAACCGTTCCTATACACAGTAAACTTACTGTTATAAGAACTGCTAATCCTTCTCCAGGTTCTTAGAATCTGGGTACAGCAATATAGAAAGTAACCACTCTATGAAAACACACACCCAAAACCTGATGGGTGGCAATTGTGATAGACTAGGGAGACAAAACAGAGAGCCTCAGAAGTAGCAGAGAGTACTGCACATTTTCTTGGAAAATTCTTAATTCTTCAGTGCTTTCTGACAAGTTTCCCCAGCCAATTTATCTCTTAGCTACTCTCTGCTACTCAGTCCTGTCTTCTGACAATCATCATACTGGGATGATCATCTGCCGTTCGATGTAACATTTTTTTCCCTAACAAACACTGCCACATTTCATCTGCCTTAAGAGAATGGCAACTAATGGCTTTCAACGAAGTCACCATGATTTTGAAAGTTTAAAACCACACATTTTCCATGTTGTAAAGCTTCTAATTACTATCATTGCACATTCACCAGTCCGTTTAAAAGTTTGGTTTAAAAATGCATTAAATAGCGTTCAATTTAATATTCAGGAGAGGAAAAGGCACTTAATACTGTAATTTCCAGAAAATAATTTGTCTGTCTTCCCCTCCTGTGATGATACTGCTACACTGTTCATTCATCCATATACATGTCACAGCACCTGAGAGAAAAAGACATTTTGGTTAGGTAGGAAGTTGACCGGGAGCACGCAAAGATGAACTTGACCCCTGATGCTTACTCTTGCTTTGCTATTTGTTTACTAAAGAAGTGAAGTAAGTTCTGTTTTTCTTGTCTCCTTTCTATAACAAAACTCTTGAATAAAAATAATTGCTTGGTACAAAGATCTTGTTAGGAATAAGAACCATTTAAGTGTAAATCTAAAGCTAAAACAATTTGGAATTACAGATAAAGAACAGAATGCAAATAAATACCTTGGCAAAATAGGTATAATCAGGTAACATGACAAAAGTTAGGAGACAGATGTGAAAAAAAAGGTGGGGAATTGGTGTAAGGTTATTGGTTTATTTCCTTTTCCACTGGAAGGGGCCTGACATTCAAGTTACTAAGTTAAGAACAAAAGTCATAAATAATTTCATTTTTTTGAAACAGTGTCGCATTCTTACCCAGGCTGGAGTACAGTGGCATGATCAAGCTCACTGCAGCCTCCATCTCCTGGGCTCAAGCTATTCTCCCACCTTAGCCCTTTAAGTAGCTGGGACCACAGCCATGTGCCACCACACTCACCTAATATTTTTTATTTTTAGTAGCAGTGAGGTTTCACTGTGTTGCCCAGGCTGGTGGTCTCAAATTGTTGACCTCAAGCAATCCTCCCACCTTAATTCTGGTATTATAGGCCTGAGCCACTGAGCCTGGCCCAGAATTTTTAAGACACATATTTAAGAAGAAATAACCATATGAAATCAAGTGACACAGGGAAGAGAATGAAGGTAGGAAGTTACTGCTTACAGTGGGAAGTCAACTTAGGTAACAGAAGATTCTGTGTCTCACTAGAAGAATTAAAAACCAAGTCCTCCAAATGATGAGAAAAAAAGCAAAAAGTTGTAAGCAAACAATCTAATGAACCTCCAAGAAATATTACTAAATGAAAAAGATGTGTAGAACAGTTTAGTACACTCCACATAAATAATTTTATACACATACACCCTCATTCACAGGACACACATTGGTAAAGTACTGTAAGGAGGACTGGGAGACAGAAGTCAGCATTAGAAAGAAGCCTTAATTTTCATTGTAATTCTTTACTTTTGTATTGTTTCTGGGTTTTTTTCTTGCTTGCTTTTTTTTTTAACCTAACAATTTAAGATCATACTGTTATCTGTAAAAAAATTATAGCTTTATGATGGTTTTTAATTGTCCATATGAAAGTTAAAGACTTCCTTTTTGGAGTCCAATGCCTGTTAACAGAAATCTAAACCCTACGTAACCTAAGAGATGCAGATGACCTGGACAATCAAGATGCTCCAGGGATACGTGAGTATGGAAAGAACATGGGTGTTTTCTGCCCTAGAAGACTGTGTTCCCTGATGGAAAAGGCAGGCTTGAGTTCATTACCCTAAGAACAAACATCAAGACAACTGCAGTAGCTGCTTACCTGTGTGGCCCTGTATTCTCTCACTGATTTTTGCTCCAAGGAGATCCCAAATGAGCAGTTCACCAGACTGACTTCCAGATAAAACGGAATTTCCATCCCAGACAAAGCACCTGCAAGAATGATTTAGAAATAGCTCTTCCTTCATCATGAAGGAAGGACTATGTTAAACTGGCCAACGTAAGCCCAAATGAAGCGATCATGAACGTGTTTGTAAATGTCTTCACCCCCCGTAACTGACAAACTGTACCTCTGGGGCTCATCTGATGTCATAGAGGAGATGAGCATTCCTGTCTGCACATCGATGACATTAAGACAGCCATCTGCTCCTGTGCTGAGGACATGGCGACTATCTGCAATACAAGGTGGGACTCAGATATGAGTGACGTTTCAGAATGTGGTTTAGATTATTCTGGATTTTATTTCGGAGTCCAGTGGCCTAATCTCCACATTCGTTTTATTCAAAATCCTTGTACTTAAGCAATGACTATCCTCTCCTTGAAATGGTTCCAGCAGTTTCCAAGATAGGGATGAGATGACCCTTTGATTATGAGTTCATTTTTACCTTATAAATTAATTTCTCTAATGAGTTGAAGAATTAAAAATAACCAATCTTGCTTTTCTATCTGATACAAATGCCACAAGTATACTGTATCCTGGCATAAAGCAGTGTTAGCTATAAGAAAAACCTCTTTTATCAGCAAAATGTTTCTAAATTTTATTTTTTATTTCAAAATTAACAATATTGTTTATTTCAGAATTCCAGTTTACTTGATATTATTTGTTTTAAAAAGGATAATATCTACCTGGGCTAAAAGCAGTGTCACATACAATCCCTGAATGGCATGGAATCTGGTGCATTAAGGTGGCCGTTGTGAGGTCCCAAATATTCACTGTGCCTTCTTTGGTGCCGGAAACTAACAGTGTGCTTGCAGCATTTAAACTGATTGTGTCTACCTAAGGAAGAAAACACATTGATACATATTCCATTTAGATTTATGGTCATTAGCTATGTTTCTCTAGTCTTCAAATATGTGGCCATCATGATGTAAATTAAACCCTGTTGTACAGTGTGCTGGTTTTGCTAATGCAGATGTATTTCAACATAGAAACGAAAACGAAGTCTTGCTAGGGTAAATGTAATGCTGTTTTAAAATACCTTAAAACTGACAGTCTCAGAAAGATAACTCTATGAATAATAAGTTATAGTGAGGAGCCAAAGTGCCTGAAGCACAGCCAGTCCATGATTATTTGAGGGATTTCTGGGAATGGGGGAATCTCTCGAGGCTACACTTGCATATCATCATGAATTACATACTAAATATTTCTCAAACTCAGCTAAGCTGAAGACCATGGAAATTAGGCACCAGTTCAAAACCTCACAGAAAAGGCAGTACTGTGACCCGGAGAAAACAGCAAGTGAGAACTGAGTGCCTGCTGGCTCTGCCAACAGGCTGCATGCACTTGACCATCTGAGACAGCTGGTCACTGTCCTCCACTGTTGGATGAGTATCTCCTGGACAGATGGTCCCCTTCCATCTTTTGGGTCAGAAAACATGAAAAATCATAGGCCCTGTCTTGTTACCTCTAAGAGTTTCAGGATACCCAAATATTCAGCATCCTGCTTAGAAACTACTATTCTGGAATTCTAATTGGACGGTAGCTAATTCTCAGGGAAGTGTACAAAGAAGCAAATTGGAGGAGGAAAAAAATCAAACTCGATTTGTAAACTTAAAGAGTCAACACAAAGAAGAGAACTGAGATTTAGCCTGTCATCTTCCATTAACTAAATAAAACAAAGCAAAACATCAACAAAACCAAGAACCTTCTTCCAGCCCAACCCCCAGACTTTTAAGATCAGTTTTCTGCACAGTTTGTTGCTGGTACTCACACTGACATCATGTTCCAGTTCAGCCAGTAAGTCAAAGTGGTGTCTTTTGGTGCCTGGCATCTCTGCAGGAACACCAGACCATACCTAGGATGGAACATGTTGCAGAAGGTATTTTCAAACATTTAACATAAAGTCATTCTGGTGTATTCAATAAAAACTCCACTGCTCAATTTCCATTCAACAGACTTGACAATAAAGTTAAGCTGTACAGTGCTCCAGCTCCTCCTCTCTATGCCTGCACTTTTTCCTACCAGCATGAGCTTGCTTACAGCCCCTTGACTGTACCTGTGTTTCCTTCAGCTGCACTTGCTGCTATAGTCATGTGACTTTAATACGTGAACTAAGGAAATGAGTGCAGACATGTTACGGTATTTTCAGAACACTATTAATGTTTTGAGAAGATCAAAAAGTATGTTACCCCCAAAATAACTAAAATTAGGTACAGGCAAATAAACTTATCTAAAAAAATGGAAGAATAATTTCTGAAAAACTCCTGGAGGAAATCTAACAATTTTAGCTTCTTGCTTTCTTTTACACCAACACAAAATAGAAACTGAAAATAATGAAAGCTGGTGTGGTGTATGTAAGATTCCAAAGAAAAGACTGAATATAGTCCTACATTGAAAGAATGGTGGCTGGGTGTGGTGGCTCACACCTGTAATCCCAGCACTTTGGGAGGCCAAGGTGGGCAGATCACCTGAGGTCAGGAGTTTGAGACCAGCCTGGCCAACATGGTGAAACCCCGTCTCTACTAAAACTATAAAAATTAGACGGGCAGGGTGGCAAGCACCTGTAATCCCAGCTACTTGGGAGGCAGAGGCAGGAGAATCACTTGAACCTAGGAGGGGGAGGTTGTAGTGAGCTGAGATCACGCCACTGCACTCCAGCCTGGGCAACAGAACTAGACTCTATCTCAAAAAAAAAAAAAAAAAAAGAATGGTGAATGAATATGCATTCAGATGATTTATGTTTAAATAAAATGTGTCTTTTGATGATTCCTCACTTTAACTTGACATTTTCTAATTAACTGTAATCAACTAATAGTTCTGATCATGGCAGATGAAAGGGGCTGCTACTATACATTTCTTTTTAATTCTGCTATTGAATGAACACTAGACCATTCACCCCACAATGGAATACAGAAATCATGATAAGCCTCCTGTTATATTAAGAAGTGGCTATAATTCTCACCACTGCACTTCAGCCCCAGCTTAGATGACAGAGCAAGACCCTGCCTCTTAAAAAAAAAAAAGGCGGGGGGGGGGGGAGTTTTTTAATTAAAAAAGTACATATCACAAAATGTACATATCACAAAGTTATGTGAAATGTAAGGATACTGAATGTTATTGCCTGTGTTTAAAATATATGTTATATAAATAAAAAATATATAACATATTTTACATATATAATATATATTTTAAATATATATAAATGATATATATCATATAAAAATATATAAATATAGATATATTTTTATATATCTATATTTTAAACATAAGCAATAACATTCAGTATCCTTAAGTATCACATGCTTTGTGAAAAAGACTGAAGTGACTGAACATGTTAACACGTAGCTGAGTGGCTTATAATATCTGTATGTACAAACATTTCAAGCTAAAAATTATATATATGCCATATAGCATACCAAGTTAAAAAATGTTAATTATATATAAACCTTCACCGTAGAGTCCCAGGATGCAGAGTAGAGCCTGTTGTCATGCCAACATATCTTACTAACAGCATCATCATGTCCCATTAATGTGTCCTGGCGTCTTCCAAATGCTATGGAATAAAAATAGCTAAAAGATAATGAGAAGTATTAAAACAGTAGTCTAGCTTAATTTTAAGACTCTTAAACACATATTAAAGAAACATTAAGCTGTTTAATTCTATACTTACTAAGGCTTGCTAGAATTACAAATTGCTTATTCTCAAATTACTAAACAAAAATTCTAAATTTAAATTGAAAATTACAAATTTCCATGTCTGGCTCATCTGTGTTTTTACCTCAATTTAAAACTTAGAGAAAAACAGATGCCAATGGGAGAAATTATTCGATTCAAGTAATTGTATTCAAATCCAACCATACTGTCCTCATCTCTAGTATTTGTTCCCTTTAGAAAACAGTGCAGTATCCTAGCAGGGAAAGCTTCTGGCTTTTTACACCTCATGTCCGCAGAGGCAGCTATTCTGTACGTGGAATCACAGAGCGGGGTGCACAGATACATACACATTATTATCCCATGAAGAACTTATGACAGTGGCATCTCCTGGTAAAAGTAAACATGATGATAAAGCCTGAAATACAAACGATTTGACATTAACAATCTATAATAATTAGTAAGTCTGTAACATAGTAAAACTATCTTATAAGCTCTTTCAAAAATTAATCCTCAAATTCTCTTTATGGTGGCTCCCCTGTTTACCCAGATTTTCTCAACTGGCTAATTCTAGGTATAAGGTTTCTTCCCAAATGCAGAAAGAAATGTCCAAGTGTGTCAAGGGTATCAATCTAGCCTGATGACTCTCTAGGGTCCCCTGGGCTGGAAGAAGCCCATTCACACTTTGGAGTAAATCTCCACGGGAGGGCAGGCTGGGAATGATTTTCATGAAAGAAAATACCCCCCCCTCTGGACTATAGACTTATGTGAGTCAGAAAACCTTCCAAAATTCCTTAGGGAATTTCCAGATCTTTTGCATGATTTATATTAAAAATAAAATGTGTTATTTCAGAAGAATTGGTTTTGTCATATTCAGTATCCTACCAACTCAGATGCATAAATTATTTAAGTAGCACATAACATTTAGTCTAACAGCTAAAAAAAGGAAAGCCTTATTAAGTAAAATCCTACTGGGTAGCTCTCCAAGTATTTTAAGCTAAAAATGAAATCACAACAGTATGAGAAAGTGGCAATCTGAAAAAAAATTGAAATTAGAAGTAATCTAAGATATTTGGTGGATTTACTACACAGGAATAAACTCAGCTGTTTTGGGAGAAATAAAGTATCATTGTATGTGTGTGTATGAAACAAACTACTACATGGATTTCTATCATAATACTAATAAAATGAACTCACCATATTTGAAAATGATATACTTCTTTGTAGCATTTTCGATTCTTTAGAAAACATCTTCAAGGTGGAATCTAATTTAATAATGAGAAGTACACATATAAGAAAGATTTCCTGGCGGGGGGTAGTGGCTCAAACCTGTAATCCTAGCACTTTGGGAGGCTGAGGTGGGTGGATTGCTTGAGCTCAGGAGTTTGAGACCAGCCTGAGCAACACGGCAAAACCCCATCTCTACTAAAATACAAAAAAATTAGCTGGGCGGGACGGCATGCACCTATAAAATCAGCTACTCGGGAGGCTAAGGCAGGAGAATTGTTAGGACCTGGGAGATAGAGTTTCCAGTGAGCCACGATCAGGCCATTGCATTCCAGCTTGGGCGACAGAGTGAGACTCCATCTCTTAAAAAAAAAAAAAAAAAGATTTCCTAACCATTACAGGTGTCAAAAAAACAGCTGCCCTTCTTGTTTCTGTGGCCAACAGTATACTTTATACTCCAAAGTATAATCTTGTGGAAAAACCAAATGTAAACATGGCTAGATAATCTGTGGCCAAATCCAACATTAAGATTCTATGACCTGTACTCCATGACAAAGAAATCAATTTAAAAATCCAGCACAGCTTTCTGGTCCCGGTCGCAGAAGCAGGATGACGAAGGGAATGTCATCGTTTGGGAAGCGTCGTAATAAGACGCACACGTTGTGCCGCCGCTGCGGCTCTAAGGCCTACCACCTTCAGAAGTCGACCTGCGGCAAATGTGGCTACCCCGCCAAGCGCAAGAGAAAGTATAACTGGAGTGCCAAGGCTAAAAGACGAAATACTACCGGGACTGGTCGAATGAGGCATCTAAAAATTGTATACCGCAGATTCAGGCATGGATTCCGTGAAGGAACAACACCTAAACCCAAGAGGGCAGCTGTTGCAGCAACCAGTTCATCTTAAGAATTTCACCGATTTAGTCATGCAATAAATATTCTGGTTTTAAAAATAAAAAAAATAAAAAAATAAAAATCCAGCACAGACATGGTAGATCTACTCTTGACATTTCAGTAAGACTATATGCAGAAATGTCAAAGCTGATAAATGCAGAAAGTTACAGGGAGGAAATGGCAATTTTAATAGTAATACAGAAACAGTAATTTAAATACTAAATAAGAAAAATACCTTGGCAATGTTTACTTTAAACACACTGCCCAATTATAGTGTGATACCCTTACACTGAACGTTAGTTATAGAAGGGGACCACTGACTTTCTAAATAATAATAAAGTAGAAATTAAAAGTCCAAGCATTTAATTTTCTTGTGTAACAGAAACCTTAAATTGTGTGTGTGTGTGTGTGTGAGAGAGAGAGAGAGAGTTGCTCTGTTGCACAGCCTGGAGTACAGTGATGTGATCTTGGCTCACTGCAAATTCCACCTTCTGAATTCAAGCAATCCTTGTGCCTCGGCCTCCCGAGTAGCTGGAATTTATGGTGCGTGTACCATACCTGGCTAATTTCTGTATTTTTAGCAGAGACTGAGTTTCACAATGTTGGCCAGGTTGGTCTCGAACTCCTGGCCTCAAGTGATCCATCCGCCAGCTTCCCAAAAGGCTGGGATTACAGGTGTGAGCAATTGCGCCCAGCCTCAAAACAACTTCTTAAAAACCAAAAGTCACAAATTACAAGGCTCTAATGTGCTTCAAACATCCTATATTTGAGATATGTAACAATCTACTTTCTAACATATAAAACATGTCAGAAGAAACTTTAAATAATTTTCTCTGCACAGTATAACTTACTAATTCAACCCAATTTTTGCAACCCCAACACACAGAATTCCTGACAATTAATAAACATGAGCCTTAATAAGACACTCTTTTAATTTGAAAACGAAAACAGAAGAATGGACATGGTATCATTTGAGCTTTTCCCCGAGCAGTATAATTAGATCTGATAGTCTTCCCAAACTTGCTTTTGATTCTTTTAGGCAATTCCAAGCATTCACCACAAAATCTGTTTCAGATTATTAATTTGGGGCATCCTACAAAAAGAAACATAAGCCAGTCGCGTGTATAAGGAAGGGTGTTTTTCTCTCCTTGATGTCTACTGGTTGGGATTTGGTGCTCTCACTGCAGCAGCCTGGGTTCATTTCTCAGGGAACCAAAAACATTTAAAAAGAAAATAATAAAAGAAAAAAAAAGACGTTTTTTTTGAAATCACAGATCGCCCGTACTAGAGGTGATCACGTTAAAGACTACAGGAAAAGCTAAGCTCGTAAGTGGTGGGTTCTGTGCATACCCACATACCTAAACACACTGTATACTAGAGGAAGATATGTAACTTAGGGGTGACCATCAGGAGATTCATAAATCAGTAATATGAATTATGAAAATCTAAATGTGAGAAGAAACTAACAGAAAAAAACAAAAGCTTTTGACTTTATTTTTAAACTCTCGTAGCCGGGAGCAGTGGTTCATGCCTGTAATCCTAGCACTTTGGGGGCTGAAATGGGTGAATCACCTGAGGTCAGGAGTTCAAGATCAACCTCATCAACATGGTGAAACCTCATCTCTACAAAAATACAAAAACTAGCCAGGCATGAAGGTGGGTGCCTGTAATCCCAGCTGCTTGGGAGTCTGAGGTTGGAGAATTGCTTGAACCCGGGAGGCAGAGGTTGTGGTGAGCTGAGATCAGACCATTGCACTGCAGCCTGGGCAACACCGCAAGACTGTCTTAAAAAAACAAACAAACAAAAAAAACCCAACCAAACAAACAAAACCTCTCTCTCCTTTATTGGGAAAATCCAGAAAAGTGACATAATACTTAAAGCCGCAGAGGTGTGAAGCCACAATGCTCATAAAATTCATGGTTCACAAGGTCATACAAGTACGATGGGCAGAAGGATTTAACAAACCATGGCAGACAAATCCCACTAAGAACACGGGTTTTGCTTATTTTGTCTGAGGCTATAATATTGGCAAACTCTGTAAGTAGAAATCCTGGCAAAATACAGAGAATTCTTTCAGAGAATTGCCTTGGTGACCCCGGTGTGGCCCAGTTTGGGAACTGCACATGAACTTCATTTTGATCTACTGTGTAGAATCACTTCTATTCTTTGCAGAAAATTCTTTTATATACAATCCAACACAGTATTAGAAAAAGAAAAGAATGAAATGCTACAGATGATAAACAATGATAAGAGCATCTGAGAGTAGTAATCCCGATTTTCCTAGAAGTGTTTAGTTGGATAGCATGTTGTCTTAATGAAAGAAAAATAAAATTTCCTGTGATAAAGACTGAAGAGCGAATAGCCTTACTTGAAAAAGTTACAAACTTTGTCAGAACGAATTGTCTTCTCACGGAAGCAGGAAGCAAAGACGCTACCCCTTCACCTCTGCACCTTCTGGAGCGCCAACACAGTTCTCAACACGACGAGGCCAAGACATACTTTAATCAATAATACGTAATGCAAACTACCAGGGAGAGAACAGTGGTGTACATAGTAAGGGATGCTTTCTGCTTTATAGCTATAAGTCGCATCACTGACACACTGCAAGGGCTTTTATAATTGTGACAATGTATAAGCATACGAAATAATATATGAATTTGATGTTGAGCTAAATCCTACGGCAAACAGCCATAAGTATAGACTGAATGACAAAACCGAAAACCGTACCAGCAAAACTGCATCTCTGTGTGCTGACAGGCACGCGCCAATTTCTGACACAGCACTTGCTACTCGTGGCCAGTCCCAGCAAGTGGACAGGGCACCCTCTCATGGCAGGCAGGAAGGCCGACCAAGCAAGGGTGTGGAAGGGAGGCTGTTTCTGTCCTATACCCTCAACTCTGGGAAACCTTATCAGCAACAGAAAGATGTTCATCATTATTTTTGGCAAATTACAATGAAACTCTATATAATATACCACAAAGAAACTGCTCTAAGTTGATTTTATGTGGAGGCAGCACATGCAAATGCAGTCCTTGACCACGAGCTAAAGACTCACATTCTAGGATTCCGGTTAAGCCGCCTCTCAGGGAGGAACACTGACCTTGGGATGTTGTGAAGACTGAAGATCCATTGCGAGAGACCGTGATTCCTGTAACTGCCCTGCTCAGAAACAAAGTTTAACAAATTACTACTCATCATGTGTTAGGACACCCTCTTTGTTTCATGTCCTTGATTTAATTTTACCAAGGTTCCTTCACTTTTTTCTTCACAGCATGTCTGCCGGATCTGTCCCAGCATAAACCTGCCATTACCAAATCACCGCTTGGCACCTTCCAATGTTCTGGCAACACCTATGGCTAGAAAACAGCCCCACTCTTTGCTTCCCTATGTGCCACATGCAATGCTTCACATACTCCTGACAATTTCTGGCAATTGGAAAACTTTTCCTTCTAATTCCCCTCATTTGATCATCACCAAAATGACAAACTCTTCTTCATAGTCTCTTCACTTGCTCATTACTGAACCTCATTTACTCAGTGACCGTTCAATGATGAGAAAATTGTTTCCAACCTGTCCTCTTAAAGGATCGTTTGTTCTTCACGACCTTGGATTACAAGGTCCTTTCCTATGTGCCATTTAGAGGAGTTGAGAAAAAACAGCCACTGTCATCATGAATCAGCCAGAACTCCTTGTTTTTCTTCAGGAGGCCGGACTGTGATGTGAAGCCATCCATCTAATGCAGAGCATCGGGCCCAGTTCTCCCCATGACCAATATGCCAAAGCGGCTGTCTGTGGTCATGGAACGGGGCAGGGGCCTACTGTCTGGGCCTGGGTTTCCTCTCTGTAGCAGGATGAACAAGCTAGGTCAGTGCTTCTCAAGCCCTTCTACCAGAGAACATGACGATCCTTAATGACAGAGAGCAGAGAACACACATATCGCCTCTGGGTCCAACAGCAAGCCCAATTTCTTAGAAGTATAGTTATTGTTATAGGTTTTTTTTAATATTCATGTAAACTTTGCAATGTTCTCTCTCTCTCTCTCTCTCAGAGAGCTAATTTTTTTAAGGTGCCTTTTGTATAAAGGCACATTATGTATAAATTCAACACTTGTGGAGTATATATCACACTTCTCCCAACGAAGATTCAAGGAGCTGTGTACTCCAATTTGAGAGGGACAAAAATGGCTGCTCTCTACAGACCACATCTTGTACTGTGAAACCACAGACTGCAGAAATGACAGCAAGGGAGCCACCAGAAATCATTTTGTGCCAAACTTTCCCTGACTACATCCACCTCAGGTGGAGATCGCTATAAACATTTTGGGGAGATTTTTAAAAAATCAAGACAACATTGAAAGGGAATTTTCCCTCTGACTCAACTTAAAACAGTTCAATCCCATGCCAAGATCCTAACTTTTGCGAGGTCTATCAGCTGCTGAGAAGAAGCAGAGACATGCTTACTCTTTGTGGATTTTATATTGCTCGTGTAACTGCAGTTTGGCGATGCTATCCCAGGCGAGTGTTTTGCTTTCTTCAGTCAAGTCTTCAAAAGACTCTTCACCTGGAGAGACTACATTAAAGTTTTGCTAAGTCCTCTAAGTTACTAACAGACTACAGCATCAGATTCACGATATTTTCTATTAAAATCAAGCAACTAAGAAATGAAACACCCTATCACAATATAACTGCTTTGAAATGAACCTGTTAAGACGGTTCCGTGTTAGTCAAGGAAAACATTGTACAGAGAAAGATAAAAAGTATCTTTGAATAATACTGGAGTCTTTTTATGCTTTTAGAAATGTTTGCAAAATTTTCACTTGGCAGCTAACTTATGAATTTCAGGAAATACAAGACTGAGTCATCATTTCCTTGTCAACATTCTTTCAAAAACCTGACAGTTGCCTAAGAATGCTGCAGTTTTGCTTTGGTTTGAGGTGGGGAAAGCAGAGATGAAATCAATTACTGCAGGAGCTTCTGGCAGAAGTAATCCTTTTACTTCTGCTTTAAGAAGGGCAGAAACAATTAACCTCTTAAAGCAATCACATGGCAGTGGTTATGGCCTGGTGACTAAGCAGAGCACAGTTTGGAAAGGCATCACAAGATAATCCTGTGATCTTTATGACTTAACCCTCTAGAGCATTCTCTCTTAAAGAAGCTACCCCTGGGCCACGTAACTCCAGGAAGCTATTTCTCCATGCTTGAGACACTGCTCAGCTGTGTATGCCTAATAAGTCTGGATGTGCTTGGAACAGAGGAGGACTGGAGATAAAAAGTGATTTTGCTCTCAAGGCTCCACAGAGTGTCGGCCTTCTTCTGGAAGCTTGTAGGTTTGAAGTTGTCTTATGTAAAAGGTAAAAGATGGGTAACTGGAAAAAGGTGAATATTCTTTACCACCTTTCCAAATATTAGATGAAAGAACTGGGTCAAGTTTATTTTAGTGCCAACCATCTGCCCAGCGCAGAACAGATACCCTGTAAACGTTTGTCCAAAGTTAAATAAGAAAGTGAAAGCCCGGTGGCTTATGCCTGTAATCCCAGCACTTTGGGAGGCCAAGGTGGGTGGATCACCTGAGGTCAGGAGTTCAAGACCAGCCTGGCCATCATGGTGAAACCCCATCTTTAAAAAATTTTAAAAATTAAAAAAAAAAAAGAAACTGAAAGCCAATGAAGAAAAGATAGCACTTTGAATTCAAGATCTGTATATGGATATGGAAGAGCATAATTCGGGCCAGAGAAAGTCACTTCTCAGAGACAGCAGGGCTGACAGTGACTGGGAAGAATACTGGACGGCCAGGACCGTAAGCATGAAAAGGTAAATAGTCAAGGATCAAACACCAGCTTGAAAACCACAGAAAAGAAAGAGAACCACATCAAAACATATATGGCCAAATTTCACTCATATTCAATTGCCAGAAAATAAAAGTGATTTGATTTCCCTTAAAGTCTATAGCTGAAAATAAACAACATCAGCAAAAACAGGTATTTGTTTTCAGAAGAACTGCAATAAGGCAGGAGAACACAATGATCTCTAAGTAGCACAACATACATGTCTTATCTCCTCTTCAGAATCTTCAGAAACAGCTAATCATGGAAGAGAAACAAAAGGTGCTCATGTTTATTCTCTTTACAAAATTTACCTGGGGAATCTGCCATAGAAGCATTATAACTGGAGGTCTGGGACCAACTTTTAAACTTCGGGGTGATCCTTCGAGGATGTGGTGTCACAAATAGTTGCTTTGGTGTCTGACCAAATTCCAGGATTTGCGTAAGCATGGCTACCTTCTCATCAGGATCCTGGATGCTTTGGGACAGAACACAAATAATGTATTGAACCACTAGGTTCGAGCTACTTGAAAGCACACATGTCAAATAATACTGATCAGTAGGAGGGATAACCCTCAAATAATGAGAGCCACGATGTGCCAGGGTTGTGTACACCTTGCCATAGACCTTTAGAGTATTTTCTGAAGCTCAGGAACACAACAATGAAAGCAAGACAGAATTCAGTTTAAAATTTCCATACCTTAACATTCAAATAACTATCTTAATAATTTAGATAAAGGCACAACTTACATTACTTAGAACAAGCAGAAACTCCTTACTGACATATAAGTACCTGGTCAAGTCTACACCTCCTTCGTAAGTCAGGGGATGAAATACTGAAAAAGACATACAAAACACTATTGAAAGATGTACTGTGTCAATATAATACACACCTGTTCAGAACTTAAACAAGGCCACGACTTAAAACTCATGTTCAAAGAAATTACTATTCACTTCACAAAACAGACTAATATCCGACTTCAGTAAATACTAACCTCAATATTACTTTCAGGTGAACAAAAATCTCATTGTCAGGTAGAGGACCTGTTATTTCAGTCAACATTTTCTCCTGAGAGGAAGCATGACTTACAGAATTAATATAACTGAATTTCCATGTAAAAAACTAGATTTGAATTTCCAGCTACAGCTCCTTGTTATGACATGAGAGAAGTGAATTATATGTGAATTTGTTTATTTAAAAAAGAAAACACACATGAGAGACGTGGAAGAAAATAAGCACTGAAACTGAAGAGAAGGTATATTGCTGCTGTTTTCTTTCTGTTAAATTTTTAAAACTCAGGCAGCTTCTTGGAAGGCTGAGGCAGGAGGATTACTTGAACCCAGGAGCCAGAGGTTGCAGCGGGCCAAGACTGCACCATTTGCACTCCAGCCTGGGTGACAAAGCAAGACTTTGTATCAAAAATAAACAAAAAATGAAACTCTGGGTCTTTCATAGGAATTGAGGCCACTGTTCTATTATACTATCATAGAGTTTTATTGAAATTACTGAATGGGATGGAGAGTATACGCTAAAATTAAAAGACGTTATTAAAAAGACTTCTTGGGGCCATGATGAGGTGGGTGTTACTTGGGCAAATGTCCTCCCTCCTCATCAGTCACTCAATATCTAATTCAGGGTCACAGAGCCAGTGGGCACTGTGCTGTGACAGAACAGGCTTCCGCTGAAGAAATAAGCCTAACTGCTCTGGCCTCTTTTTTGTTGTTGTTGTATTGTTTGCTTTCATTTTCCAATGCAAATGAACAATGCTAAATATTCACCCGAGGCTAAATAAAATTTCAGTGAATATCACATACCATTATGGGCCCCAACCGCATCACTCCCTTTCTGCTTGTAGCCAAATATTAGATCAATCCACTCGTGGAGGTGTTCAGACACATAACTGCTTTCCAACGCGTCTTTGCTCTTCTGGAGAAAATCCTCGGGACCTATTAGATTAGACTCAATCAAAAACTCATGGAGTCTTCATTTTTTTCCTCCCATTTCTTTTGACTATCCACAAGTAGATAAAGCTTCTAGAACTGGCAAGAGGGTCATATTTCTTAATAAGACTTATTTTCTATCATATGAAATGTAAGTATTTTGGGGGGAAAAGTGGCAAGAATAATTTTCACATGAAGGTCTCTCAAATACATATGGATGTTTTTACATCACAGACTCATAGACTACTTCTGATATGGAATAGGACTCATATTGCCTCATTTAGATAGAGAATTATATTGTGATTTTTTAAAATCTAAGCAATAAAATAATTGTTGATACTGAAATTGCACTACTTAGTAATGAGTGTCTATAATACAACACCTCCAGGGGGGACTCACTTGAGGCCCAAGGGGGAAGTTCCACATCGTCAACCATCTGTCCTCCTTGTCTCTTTCCCAAATCCAACTTCAGACTATTGACTAGAAAGCTCACATCATCACCATAGAATTCTGGAATTAACTGAAAGTTTCAGAGAAAAAAAAAAAGAACAACAAACATGTTTTAAAGCAGTTAGAAACGCAAGTCCAGCTAATCATTAGCTTTATTAACTGCTTACCTCTTTAAAATCCGTTGCGCCATCCAGACAGTTTTTCCAAGTCTCTGCAATACTACATATGAAAGAAAAATTCACCATCTTTTCAGCTATGGAAATAGCAATAGCAGTATTTCCTTTGCACTTGGGGGTTGTTCTACACTGTCTGTCATTCACTCATAGTTCTCATCATCCCTCTGAGTGTGCCACTTTAACAGAAAGGAACACTGGGACCCAGAGAGTTTCTGTAACTTCTCTAGGGTCACACGGTGGGAGTGAGCATGGAGTCCATGTCCAGCCCATTAGCCACGCTATAGCCACTGCCTCATCCAAGGGCCAAATGGAGGCGGGTGCCTACACACTGAAAGATTAGCACAACTATCTGAATGGCTCATTGTAAAAGGAATTATTATTAGATACGTGTAGGATTCAAAAGAGATGGGAAGGACAGACCAAAAAATTAACAACAATTATTATCTCAGTGTGGTGGGATACCAAGTAAACTTATTTCCTTCTTTGTATTTCTGATTTTTTTGGTAAGAGAATATTACTTTTATAATTAAAAAAAAATAAAGTCATTTAAATACACCCAGGGAGCTGCATTTAATTCACAGCAAATTTATTAAGAATAATAAAGTGTCGGAAACAATCTAAACGCCCAACAATAGAGAAAAGAAGTTGAAATAAATTATGGTGTATGTTAGAATGTGATAAAAATAATTTAAAAAAAAAAATCACTGTTTTGAAGAATACCTAACAATATGGGAAAAACTTTAATATTTAATACTAGGCTATAAAAGGCAGGACAAAAAGCTGTACTTAAAATATGTTCTCATATTTACACACACATACATGTCTAGAAACAGCCCAAGAGGAATAGATAATAACAATTAGTGATTTTTTTACATTTCTTTAAATTTTTCATTATATCTAGTGCTTTGAAACAGTATGTTGTACATATACAATCAGAAAGTGTTAAAAACGATAAGCAGGCTGGGCATGGTGGCTCACACCTGTAATCTCAGCCCTTTGGGAGGCCGAGGCGGTGGATCACCTGAGGTCAGGAGTCCAAGACCAGCCTGGTCAACATGGTGAAACCCTGTCTTAAGTTATAAAAAACAAAAAACAAAAAAAAACGATAAGCAACATTTGTATCAAACCTGTTGAACATTCTATCTGCATTATCAAATCTTCCATTCTGCAGGCACAGCATATACTCTGGTGCTAGAGGGAAAAAAAGTCAGAGGTAAGTCAGATCACAGAATCATTGAAGAATATTGTGAAATAAACTTTAATTGGGGGTAATGATAAAGAATCTTACCAATCCTCACAAGATAAAAAAGCACATAACCCGGGGAAGAATAGTGACTCCCATACATGAACTTTGGTTCATGCATTTCCTGGTAGCGTGTCTAGAATACAGAAAAAACAAAAATAGTGCTAAGTGTTCGTTATGAAATAATAACTGACAAGCGGTAAAAGCCTAAAAGAAATCATAATGTGGATACACCATATTCCTTACTTTCTCTCTTAGATAAGAAAAGGAGAAGATAAAAGAGAATGAAAATCTGTGACTAAATAGCATTCCTGAGACAAGTATTTTGGTTTCCTTGGCTTAATGGTAACAAAATTTGGCCTTAGATTAAATAGAACTGATTTTATGCATCTCTTATGCAATTTACCAAAGAACGCCTTCGTGAAAATAATTCAGTGAACCTGTAAACAGGTCGCCCTCCTCCTTCCAAAACTAGACAAGGAATGTAAATGGTGAGCAGCTAAATTCATGGTCAGGAGAAAAGCAAGAAAAAAACTCTATGTAGAGTCACTGAGTCACTCCCGGTGTAATTCTCGTAGGCCTTGGAGAAACGAGTTTCCTTCCGTAAAAACACAGGCTGTGACTCCTGGTGTTGCTTAGAAACCAAGAATCTGTAAGTCCACATACCAGCAGTCTCTCCAGCCGTTCCTTATTTAGGGCCCCCACTGGCTTACTAAGATCCCGGAAGGTTCCTGGATTTGACAAATCTATAAACACAAATCAATAAATAATTTCAGCTTATACTTAGTACCATTGTCCTCCTGAATTAATTCAAATATACACATTTACGTCACAAAATAGTTTTTTAAAAATTGAGACAGATCCATGAGAGTTACATTTTTTTTACTTATGTACATAGATGTTAAGGCTAGAACTTTCTGAGTTTTAAGTTAGCCATAACCACTTAAGAACAGGATCTCTAATTTGAGAATTCCTGAACGTTAATTTTTTTTTAAAGTTTCTGATTAAAAAAAAATATATTCCAATTAAAAAAAATAAAAAACAAATTTTAAAAGCTATTATTCTTCTACCAAGATTTACTTTCTACGCTTGAATTCTAGTGAATATTATTATTCTGCAATATTAGCCTAAATATTTAGGCCCCTAAATATTTTCAGAGAAATAAATTCTCATATTTCTAGAAAATCTATTATCCCTTTCAAGTACAAAGGTTCAAGGTAACATGTCAAAAGGAACTACCTATTCACAATATATAACTTTTAAATATTACAAAATAAAGTTACAATACAATTTTTCTTAAAATAATCTGAGGGAGCAAGAGAAGAGGCGATATGCCACGAAGGTAAAATGGTTATAGCTCCATAACATCATTATGAACGATTTTTATTTCCGTCTTTGATTATTTCAGGACTTTCCAAGTGTTCTATAATGAACAATCAGTTTTTTATTTTTCATTTTTGTTTTAGTTTTGTTTAGAGACTGCGTTTCTCCACGTTGGCCAGGCTGGTCTCGAACTCCTGACCTCAGGTCATTCACCCCCTTGGCCTCTCAAAGTGCTGGGACTACAGGCGTGAGCCACCGCGCCCGGCAAACAATCAGTTTTTAATGTGATTTTTTAAAAAATAATATAATAAGGTGAATGATAATTTTCAAAGTGAGAAGCAAATATTTCAAAACATGGTACTTATAGATAATAATGATAACCCTGAATTAAAATTATGCCCATTTTTTTCCATGTGTGTCCTTCAAGAAGTATGGTGGAAAAAACACACATAAAACACTTATGACACTTACATAGCATCTTGGAATGGAAATTGGCAATCCTTAGCAATACAACTGAAAAGAGTTGTCATTTGTTCACGTATCACATCATGATTATAAAATAGAATTTATTATCTCCTTTAAAAACAATACAGATGACCACTTCCCACTCAGCTTGGTCAGAATTCCACAGGTGGCAGTTACCTAGTTCTGAGCTGGAATAATCATGTATTATCCACGGAAACACTGGGTACTGGGAGAGGTCGTTGCAGCTGCGGTCGGCCAGGTTGTTGAGGTGAAGGAGGTACTGGTAGTTGGAAAGGTGTCCGCGCTGCCACTGCAGCATGTAGCTCTCAGCAGTGTGCTCCGCCACGTGGTGCTCTGGGGGAAGAGGACCCACGAGGTCTGCCACTCACCTTCGAAAACTTAGTATGCAAAAGCTAGGGGCTTAATGTGTAGACCTTTCCTGTGCATTCTGGAAAAATACATTGGAAGAAAAAGAAGGCCGGGCGCGGTGGCTCACGCCTGTGATCCCAGCACTTTGGGAGGCCTAGGCGGGCAGATCACAAGGTCAAGAGATCGAGACCATCGTGACCAACACGGTGAAACCTCGTATCTATTAAAAGAAAGAAAGAAAAAAAAAAAAGGAGCTGGGCACAGTGGCTCACGCCTGTAATCCCAGCACTTTGGGAGGCCGAGAAAGGCAGATCACAAAGTCAAGAAATCAAAACCATCCTGGCCAATGGTGAAACTCCGTCTCAACCAAAAAATACAAAAATTAGCTGGACGTGGCTGTGCACGCCTGTAGTCCCAGCTACTTGGGAGGCTGAGGCAGGAGAATTGCTTGAACCCGGGAGGCGGAGGTTGCTGTGAACCGACATCACGCCACTGCACTCCAGCCTGGTGCCTGATGACAGAGTGAGACTCTGTCTCAAAAAACAAAAAAAAAAACAAAACAGAAAAAAAAAAAGAAGTGCCTGATGACAGAGCAAGACTCTGTCTCAACAAAAAAAAAGGACAAGAAAAGTAGGCTGCTGATTTTTTCATAAAGTAATTGTTCAGCCAAGCATGAATAGCTCCAAGATCAAGGAGGGGAAATTACTAAATACATTGAGCTATTACCCTACCCTCCACAATAGGATATAATCTAAACAAATATGAAAGTGTAGAGAAAGTATATAAATATTACACATTAATAAGTAACATCTACACAATAACAAAGAATCCTTCCAAATGTGCTGGGTCTCCATGGCCATCTATGAAAGCTCACTTCTCTTATGATTTATGAAATTAAATCAATCTTTTTGTTTTCTTTTGGGCATGGAAGAGATGTACTACTGCTAACTGGTCAATGACTACCTGTTATTTATGCAAGTGAGGACTAAGGAAGAGAAGAGAAATGGTTAAAGAAGCAAACAGGCATTGGGCAGGGACACCCATTCTCAAGCTGAAAGAATGAGGCCTGTCCCCCGAAACACCTCAGGAAGAATGAGATCTGAGATAATGCAGCAATGAGAACTTCCCTCTCAGAGTGTGGAATGAATTAACTGTCCTGCAAGTGGATTCTCCCTTTTGTTCAGAAAATTCTGCTTTCAACCTCTTCCTGATGCATTCGGCATCTTAACTCTTAATATTTCTTCTCATTTATTTTTACCAAGTTTCTTCTCTAATCGATAACTAGGAAAGGACTTCAAAAATCAAAACACACTTTCCACTCATTTTCTATTTTTGAAACTCCTCAGAAAAAGTATGAACCATCTTAGGAATAAACTCAGTGACAACTGACAGCTTCTTAGAAGATGGATATTTTAGAACCTGGCAAAGTTTTTGGCTTGAGATTTTAGGACTCACTATGAAAGTTGAGCTTTTTATTGTAATCTTATTACAGTTAAAAAAAAAAAAACAAAAAATTAGATCAGGAGACAGGAAATTAAAGTAAACGTATTAAAGCTATACTTATACATAGTTATCTTGAATAGTTTAATGTATGAAGAAAATACTAGCTATATATAAACCTACTTTAAAATAAAATATATTCCCTATTGAAAGCCAACTATTCCTCCTTGAAGAAAAATTTCATTTGTAAGGGAAGATGTACTTTACTATATTTCGTAAATGTTTTCGTGTTACACCAAAATAACAAACACAATTAAGATGGTATTAATGAAATCCCAAAATCCATGTTTTTTTCTGAGACAGGGTCTCACTCTGTCACCCAGGCTGAATTGCAGTGGTGTCACCACGGCTCACTTCAGCCTTGACCTCCCAGGCTTGACTAATCCTCCCACTTCAGCCTTTTGAGTAGCTGGAACTACAGGCACATGTCACCAGGCCTAGCTAATTTTTAAAGTCTTGAGGTCAAGCCATGTTGCCCATGCTGGTCTCGAACTCCTGGGTTCAAGAGGTTCTCCTGCCTTGGCCTTCCAAAGTGCTGGGATTACAATCATGAGCCATGATGCCTGGCCGGAAATCCATTTTTAAAGATAATTCCATTCTAGTTAATTAGCAACTTTGTAAATTAGAATAATTTAATTTAGCCTTGCAACTTACTAAAAAAAACTTTGGGCTTGAAAATAAAAATACAAGTATTTTTTCTCGTAATGGTGAGAAAATTCACTTTTTCCATGAAGAACTGAGGAAATATTATTAATTAAAAGCAAATTTCACTCCAAAGTCAGTATACTGAGCATAGAAGGTTTACATGTTCCTTTTGCAGTCTTTCAGCTTTGTGGTTATGACCACAATCAACGATCACAAACGTGTGAATAACTCACTTCCTCACAGTGCAAAACGGAGTCTTGGCTTTCATAAACTAATATAAGACCTGACTGAACATAAAAATATTTGGGTGGATTCTTCAAAATCCATTCAATGTGGAGGACGTTAAAACATAAGAGCATTTAAATATATTTATGTAGAGTTTTTAAAAGATACATTCAGAATGAACTGTTACCAAAATGAATTTATATTTCCCAGAGTTTTAAAAATATTGTTTTGGCAATTACAGTTACTAATGAGAAGAAATTAGAACCCCAAAGAGGCAATTCTAGAAATGATATTTTTCTTATTTCCTATCCCAGATCCTTAGGAGTCTACCTTCATGTGAACAGAAATCCCGTCTCTATTAAAAATACAAATAAAATTAGTGGGGCATGATGGTGTATAGTCCCAGCAACTCGGGAGGCTGACGTATGAGAACCACGTGAACCTGGGAGGCAGAGATTGCAGTGAGCTGAAATTGTGTCACTGCACTCAAGCCTGGGCGACAAAGTAAGACTCAGTCTCAAAAAAAAAAAAAAAGAAAGAAAGAAAAGAAAAGAAAACCATGAAGGGTGAGCACCACACCTAGATACGTGGCAATATAAAAATAGAGATCATCTCTATCTTGAGGTTCATAGAACTTTAGGTAGATGTCGGAACACAGATCATCTTCTGTGCAAAACACTTCCAAGCCCTGTAAATTCAGAAAGAAAAGAATAAAATAAATAGCATTGTATTCATCTTACAATCCCAATACAAGTATATAATTACAAAAGCTTTCAGTTAAACATTTGCGTTTTTAATTTTTATATCTCATATTCCTATTTCCAATCTATAAATTTAACTCAGTGATATATATACATATATATGTTGTGTTTAGAAATGTTCTGAGAACAACATAGTATCTCAGCTAAACTTAGTAAACCACCTTGGGTGTTGAATATTTTCATTAATAAAAGCTTTTGTGAACTTACTATGTTGAAATTAAAAATTAGCTGATCCATGTCTTCTCTTCTTCAATATAAATGTTTAGCTTTCTTTTATAAGTTAAATTATATATATTTTTGAGGCCAGGTCCTGCTCTGTCACCCAGGCTGGAGTGCAACGGGGTGCCACAGCTTTAATAGTACCTGTTTCCCTGATCTGCCTCGAACTCAGGCTCAGCTGATCCTCCCCCTTCAGCCCCTCAAGTAGCTGACACTTCAGGTGCACCATGCCCAGCTAATAAATTATAATTTCACAGACCTAACAATCTGATAATTGAATTAGCCATTCAATTAATACATTATAATTATCTTACAAAAACCTATGAGATTTGTGACGATAGTGTTGGTAAGACTGAGCTAGCAAAGGAACAGACAAAGCCAGGATGAAAGCCCAGAGCTGCCCTTGGTTCAAATACAGCTTCCACCGTGTACTACCTGGAAGCTAAGGAAGTTAGCCCCTGGAGGCTCAATTTCTTTATCTGTAAAATGCAATACTATCTACTTTCACAAGGATTATGAGGACAGATAAATGAAACATTATATACATTATATATATATATGCTTGGCACACAGAAAGCACTTAATCAGTGTTATTTTATTCTCTTTTTCTGACTGCAGCTCTATACTCAAAGGAGATTTTTAATAGTATCTGTTTCCCTGGTCTGCTATTAGTGCTGGAAATGGAGGAATGGCCTTTTAAGTAAAACAGGCAGCAAAACAGTTGAATTTCACAAATTAAAAGCACAAAAATGAGTTAAAACTCCACAATGCTTTTGTAATGTCACCAAGTTCTGGTTAATCTCCAACAAAGAAAAAATGAATTTCTACTGGTGTCAAATTAACAAACCTTGGAATCACACCTTCTGTAGGGATTAGTTACCAAAGTAAGGCGTGTCATAAATACCTCAGTACAGACATACACGCATTCAGGGAATGCCGGAAAGACCTGCCTCCATGACTTAAACAGTTATTTTGTCTATTTCTCTCTCTCAGCAAGCCTAAAGGTTGAATTAATGTAAGTTAGCTGTGAATATACTAGTTCCACTAAAGAATTAATTTTACAGTATCTTGCGAGTTTAGCTGCTGGAGGCAAGTACGATACAGGGTTGGTTTTGCACAGATCATTCTAGCCTGAGCCTGAGAAAGCAGGAGTGAGAAACTCAAGGGCACTCTAGTCCTCTTGCTCTTGGAACCAAAAATATTTCAATATAGCACCTCTTCTCTATATGAAAGAGTTATTCCTTTATAAACTTCTAGCTTCTCCAAAAGAAAGAACAGCAAAGGCCAGCCGAAGTGGCTCATGCCTGTAATCCAAACACTTTGGGGTCCAAGGCGGGCGGATCACCTGAGGTCGGGAATTCAAGACCTGCCTGACCAACGTGGTAAAACCCTGTCTTTATTTAAATAAAAAAAGAAAGAAAGAACAGCAAAATCAGAGTCTATTTGCTTACAATACAATGTACTTGCACTTTCAGACATCCCATAGGTATGTATTGTCAATAAACCGCTGGCTACACTGAAGGTGTGACAATCCTCCCCCAGCACGGCCTCCCAGGGACTCACCAGAGGCATCAGGCCGTGCCTCCTTTTGTAGATACGGCGGACGTCTTGGAGTGTTATCTGGACCACAGGTTTCTTTAAAAGTAGAAAGACAATCTCAAACATTGTTGTTCTGACACAATTAAAAGTTGTTCTTTTGTATCAGAAAGGGGGAGAAAAATCACCAAATCTTACCTTCCTAATGAACCAAAGGAAATCTTGGGACAAGGTGATGTCTGGTTTCCCATTCTGCTCTGCCATCTTTCACTAGCTCTGTGACTGTGGGCAAGTCTCCCTCCACCCATGTGGCACCCCCCCAAATGATAATGCAACCATCTATCTTTTAGGTATCTTTCAGGTTACTTGGGTGGGGTGATATCTTTCAGGTTAGATTGTGGGGTGAAAGAACTGGCATAAATAACTTCTCAGAAATCTTGCTATCTTTTTCTAGACAAATAGTTTGCTTACTACTGACACACATCTCTTTTTAAAAATCCTTTTATCTCATTAAAAGTTAACAGTGTATTAAGGCTCACAAATGACTTAAGTATAAAGCAAGGCCTCTAAACTATTTCTTTGCTAATGAAGAAGAAAATTGTCTTGCTTTTCTCTAATAAAACACCAGTAAGAGAGAAAGGAGGTTTAGGGCCGGGCCCGATGGCTCACGCCTGTAATCCCAGTACTTTGGGAGGCCGAGGCGGGTGGGTCACGAGGTCACGAGATCAAGACCATCCTGGTCAACATGGTGAAACCCTGTCTCTACTAAAAATACAAAAAAATTAGCTGGGCATGGTGGCGCGTGCCTGTTATCCTGGCTACCCAGGAGGCTGAGGCAGGAGAATTGCCTGAACCCAGGAGGCGGAGGTTGTGGTGAGCCGAGATCACGCCATTGCACTCCAGCCTGGGTAACAAGAGCGAAACGCCGTCTAAAAAAAAAAAAAAAAAAAAGAAAGGTTTAAAAAGGCACTGAGATTGGCTAACAACTATGCGTCCGTGGTCCTCCTCCCAAGTGGGAGGGATGATGGGTGTGCAGAGGTCAGCCTCTCCCTCTCCAACAGTGAAACTGCCCTGGAGGCCAGGAGTTAGGTCTTGGAAACTACTGGTCAAGGATCCTGGCCAGTATTGGGAAGAGGTAAAGGCTCATACCATGGATCGCGAAGCTAGGATACACAGACATTTTTTTCTCAAAATTTCGGACCCAAGCACTGCTAGCAGCCAAGGCAATGTATTACACTCCCCGAGAATGCTGCTCCAGCCGCATGCAGTGAATACAGAACTAAGAAAGTGAGCCCCACCACCACCTAGTGGATAGAATCGCTATAGCATAATCTTTCACTCAGAGTTTGAGATGTTTTAGTGCCCTGTAATGATCAACCTGCAGAATTTCCAAGGTGGAACTTTCTCCGGCGGAAAACACTCCTAATTCTGGGGCCCTGCCAAATGGCCCCACAGCACTACTAGGGTGTGTTAGGATTTCTGTTCTTTTAATGGATCATGCTAAAAAGTGGCCCGATCTAGATAAACAACAAATCTTTTACATGTTTTAGCATGGAAATCTAAGTTTATCTTTACTTTCTAGTCTTGTAAGTCTAGTGTCACTGTGAAAGAGAAGATTGTTTCCAAAATTCTAGCAAGAGCCCGTGACTGCCAGACAGCAGGATCTCCACATGCACATCTGTATTGGCTAGGAGAACCTGCTCATGGTGTTCCTTCAGGAAAAATTCAGATCTACTGAGGCTGTTCATCATTAGGTAGAAGCAAGAAATACCAACATCTATGTACATATAAAAAATATGTTTAAAAATCCATTTCTTATTAACCATAGTACACTTCACTGGTCTCTCACAAGTGCCACCTAGAAGAAAGGTCTAAATCTCTGACAACTGCTAAAATCAAGAGAAACAGGGTTTCTTTTCACCACACTGAGAGCAAGTGCCCCCAACATGACTGAAAACAGATCAGAAGAACTCAAACTGCGGAGACTTCACATCGAGATTACATACAGTGTTTGGAAAATACACAGCTGCTCCTGGTGAAGAAAGTGAGTGGGGACATGATTTTTGATCCTCATCAAAAAGTGAGGACCCTGGCATTGTGAGAACATGGTCTGGAAGCAGCTTAAACATGGGCAGCTCCCCACCTGATCCTGTGGTCTACGCACCGGGTAGCCATTGAGAGGCTGAAAGTACAGGTTTGTGTCCGTGATGCACACGTGTCCAGGATTTGTGACCAGAGGTGTCACCATTTCTGCTTTGCATTCCATGTGCAGCCTTTCACAGATGTTTTGGAACCTGAAAATATGTTTTTCAGCAAAAGTAAGAAAAATCAGAAATTGATCTACTTCCTGGGTTTATCTAAGAAAGCTACAGTGTGACTTTGTATGACATTTGTCTAAACACTATATTTAATACGAGAAAAATGGTAATATAAATTGATTGCTTAAATCAAACTCACTCTTTAAAAATGGCATGATAAAAACTCGGTTTTTAAAGAAAGAGGTGAGCTTATGTACCACAGAAGCCATGACAGACAAGTAAATAACACCAAATAATCCTTTAGCTAAACTCATTCATCCCCAATAAACAGGCCTTGAAACTACTCTTAAACTTATTTCCTAGTCTATTTCCTATTTTTCTGTCACTTAGACCTATTTCTATTGTCCTATAAACCACTCTGACACAGGTGGCATTTATTTCACACTACACTACATAATTATAAATTACTTGAATTATAATACATTAGAGTAATTGCATATTCCTTGGAATATTCTTGAGTATATCATTTTATGGATTTGCCACAGAACACCAGTGAAAAATGATCTCTCCACTACCCACTCCTAAAATATTCAATCAACAAAGTCCCTTCTCATTCTGCTTTACTGATTTTGAAAAAAAATAAAGGGAAAACAACCAAATCAGCAACATTTTAAGGCAATGACTGAAATATCTGGGTTAAAAATAAATCTCTTTATAAATGACAGGACAAAAAGATAACAGGGGAAGACCTTCACTCAAGTTAGGGTGGGAAAGCTATAAGAGACTGTTGAAGCTTTTACGCTAACAACCATGGCCAGGCACGGTGGCTCATGCCTATAATCCCAGCACTATGGGAGGCCAAGGTGGGTGGATCATGAGGTCAGGAGATCGAGACCATCCTGGTCAACATAGTGAAACCCCATCTATACTAAAAATACAAAAAATTAGCTGGGCATGGTGGCGTGCGCCTGTAGCCCCAGCTATTCCAGAAGCTGAGGCAGGAGAATTGCCTGAACCCAGGAGGCAGAGGTTGTGGTGAGCTGAGATCGTGCCATTGTACTCCAGCCTGGGCAACAAGAGCGAAACTCCATCTCAAAAAAAAAAACAACAACCAAAAGGAGCTGGATACACTGAACAATCTTCATTGATTTTTTTTTTCTTTTTGACACAGAGTCTCGCTCTGTCACTTAGGCTGGAGTACAGTGGTGTGATCTCAGCTCACTGCAAACTCTGTCTCCCAGGTTCATGCGATTCTTCTGCCTTAGCCTCCCAAGTAGCTGAGACCACAGGCACGCACACCATGCCCGGCTACTTTTTGTATTTTTAGTAGAGATGGGGTTTTACCATTTTGGTCAGGCTGGTCTCGAACTCCTGACCTTGTGATCTGCCTGCCTCGGCCTCCCAAAGTGCTGGGATTACAGGCGTGAGCCACCATGCCCGGCCCAATCATCATTCTTTTCTTAACTCTCTGGAATGTTGAGGATGCAAAGAAACCTAAATGAACATGATTGCAAAAAGGAAAGGAGAGACCAACAGGTAAGTAGCCGGAGGAAACGACAGCGACGACAGAAGTGAGCAAGGGCTGCAGAATGAAGAGAGATCTTCAGGGAAATGGAAAACCAGAGTTGAGACTGGAGAGTGAAGAAAGCTTTCCCAGAGATCCAAAAATGCTGTTGACTGGGGTGCAAAGCAAGAAAAACCTCCCGCAGTTCAGAAACCTGATGGCTCAGCTGTGAAGCACAAAGATATCCCTAGAATCCTTCAAGCGCTCAGATCCCAAGTTCTGTGGAAAAGAAAGTCTTGATCACTCCCTCAGTAGAGTTGCAGGCAGTGTTGGCTTGAATTTAACCACAGCTGCAACAGTCTTAATGCAGCTCAGTTACAGATTTGATTGACAGAGTCTCCCTGTGGGCATGACCACTTCTGGAGGTAAATATTATTTAGTTTGGTCTCAAATTTCCTTTTTAACAAATTGTTCAAGAAAATATTCCAATACAGTAAAATTATAATACATAACAAAGAAGCAAGAAAATATGACACATGCTCAAGAGAGAAAAGAAAGACTCAATAGAAGATGTCCCAGACATTGGATCAATCAGAGGAAGAGTTTAAGATAACTACAGTAACTACTATAAAGGATCAAGAACAGTCCAGGCATGTTGGTTCACACCTCTAATCCCAGCACTTTGAGAGGCCAAGGCAAGAGGATCACTTAAGCCCAAGAGTTTGATACCAGCTGGGTAACACACTGAGATACCATCTCTACAAAAAATAAAAAATTAGCCAGACATGGTGGCATGTCCCTGTGGTCCCAGCTACTCAGGAGGCTGAGGATCACTTGAGACGGGGCGGTGAGGCTGCAGTCAGCCATGATTATGCCACTACACTCCAGCCTGGTTGACAGAGTGAGACAGTGTCCAGAGCAATGGAGAAGAGAATAGCTGGACAGAGCAATGGAGAAGAGAATAGCTGAGAACTGATGGGGAAAAAAAGAGAGAGAAAAGGGTCAACAAGGATGAAAGACGGACAACACATGTGGAAGGACAGAGAGTTTCAGCAGAGAAACAAAGTATAAAAAAGAAGCAAATGGAAACATAGAAATAAAAATGTTGATCTCATAAAGAATTAATTAAACAATCTTCACAGACTAGACGCAGTGAAGGAAAGGTCCAGTAAGGCTGAAAACAGGTCAATAAAAAGTCTCCCAACTAAAACAAACCCAAAGGAGAAAAAAGAATAAAAAAAAAAAAAAAATACAGGAGAGTGTATCTGAGATCTGAAAGAACATATTAAACATCCTAACGTAAGTATAACTGACTACAGAAGAAAAGACAGAAAATAGGACAGAGCAATGGAGAATGGCTGAGAACTGATAAAAAGCATCAGTTCATAGATGCATGTTACTCTGAAATTCAGTGTGACATAATAAAAAAATATCATTTGGTCTCTGCTCCCAGAGAATGGAACAGAGCTCCTGAAACTTGTGTAATTTCCTGAGCAACAGAGGTGTTAGGTGCATCATTTGTTCTAATATTTGGTCTTTGGTCCTGATTCCTGACATAGACCTCCTAATCCCTTGGAATTTCCTGAGTTATAGAAGCATCTTTTGCTCTAATGAGGCAACTGTTTGTGGGATCCTGGATGGTTGCTGGTCACCAGAAGGATCAAGCCCTGATTAGAGGCTTAGAGATTTCAGCCACACTCCCCTTTCTCAGGGTAAGGGAGAGAGGCTGGAGACTGAGTTAATATTTGACTATGCCTATGTGAGGAATTCTCCATAAATACCTCAGCTATGAGGCTGGATGAGCTTCTGGGTTGCTGAGACATCTATGTGCCAGGAGGGTCCCCCCTCCACAGGGACAGCAGCTCCTGTGCTCAGGACCCTTCCTTCCAGATCTCACCCTATGCATCTCCTCATCTGGCTGTTCATCTGTACCCTTTATCATGTCCTTAATTAGCATAATAAACTAGTAAACATAAGTAAATATTCTGAGTTCTGTGAGCCATTCTAGTATCAAACCCAAGGAATGTGTTGTGGGAATCTGATTTATAGCTAGTTGGTCAGAGCACCTGTGCTCACAACTTGGATTTGTGATTGGCATCAAAGGTTACAGGGAGGGTGCCTTGTGGGACTGAGCTCTTAACCTATGGGGTCTGTGCTAACTCCAGGCAGACAATGTCTGAACTGAATTGTCGAATACCCAGCTGGTATCCGAGAACTGTTTTGTACAGGAAAAAGCCACACAGCTGATCACTGAAGTGTTCTGTGCTGACAGCATAGCAGGAATTTCCCCATCATACACTCTGAAATCCTCAAGCAAAATAAACACAAGAAAACCACATCTCATATAGGTAACAACAATGCAAATCATGGGGCTCTTCACCAGAAATAACAGAATGACAATCTTTAAAAGTGGTGAGAAACCTGCCAATCTAAAATTCTATATCCAAAAATGTCCTTCAAAACTGAAGGTAAAATAAGTATCTTCTTAGACAAAGTTGAGAGAGTTCATCTTTAATGGATCAGCATTGGAATGCCACAGAAAGTGTTTCAGACTGAGGAGAAATGATAGCAGGTGAAACACCAGATTTGCAGAAAGGAAAGAAGACTAGAAATTATAAACATTTAAATATCTAAGTGTTAAAAATATTTTTAATATTTTTAACTTCTATGCGAACACATAGTATGTATCTAAATTATTTTAAAACTTATTGATTTTTAGGCCAGGTGCGGTGGCTCATGCCTGTAATCCCAGCACTTTGGGAGGCTGAGGCAGGCGGATCACCTGAGGTCGGGAGTTCAAGAGCAGCCTGACCAAGATGGTGAAACCTTGTCTCTAAAAAAAAAAAAAAAAAAAAAAAGTATTGATTTTTTTTTTTTTTTTTTTTTTTTTTGAGACGGAGTTTAGCTCTTGTTACCCAGGCTGGAGTGCAATGGCGCGATCTCGGCTCACAGCAACCTCCGCCTCCTGGGTTCAGGCAATTCTCCTGCCTCAGCCTCCCAAGTAGCTGGGATTACAGGCACGCGCCACCATGTCCAGCTAATTTTTTGTATTTTTAGTAGAGACGGGGTTTCATCATGTTGACCAGGATGGTCGCGATCTGTTGACCTCGTGATCCACCCGCCTCGGCCTCCCAAAGTGCTGCGATTACAGGCTTGAGTCAACGCACCCGGCCAAAAGTATTGATTTTTAAAGCACAAATAAGAATACCGTATTGTGGGTTTACGGTACATGCATAAATTAGCTACAAGATAAGATCAAAACTAGCAGGAGAGGCTAAATGGAAATACATTGGAGTAAGGTTCTTATATGTTGTAAAGTAGCATAAAATAATATTATCTGAAGGTACACTCTGGCACGAGGTGCTTATTGTAATCTCTAGAGTGGCTACTAAAAATAACAATACCACAAAGTGGTAAAGCTAAAAAGTCAATCGAGTAGATACAATGGAGTATTGAAAAATACTAGATTTACCCAAAAGACAGGAGAAAAGGAGGTACAGAGGAACATCAAAAAAAAAAAAAAAAAAAAACG